TTCTTTCAGACACACAACGACATTGAGGATCTAGAAAGAAGTGAGGGAAGAAATAATGGAAACAAGAATAGTCCTCATTTGCCTACTGGAACAGAAGAAGCTTCGCAAACTATACAAGAAGAAAATGGAATTCGTCCAGAAGGAAATACATATCAAAATTATGGTAAAAAAAGACAAGTGAGAGACGAGTTGCCTCAAGAAATCAAAGCAGCGCGACGTCAAATGGATGAAGCTTTTCAATTAATGAAAGAGAAGAAAGATGATGAATATGAGATGTTCGGAAGACTGCTCGCAATTAAACTAAAAAAAATAAGAAATCCAAACACGCGTGATATATTGATGAATGATATTCACAATTTAGTATTTCGTGCATGTATGGCAGATCGACTTGAGCAGCAGTCTGCAGTACCTCAGTTTTCTACAACCCTGTCTCCACACCATCAAGCATTCAGCCCACTTGGTGACACATCTTGAACAAATTATGTAAGCTTCTATAGCTATCTCCTGTAGCTAGATATCGTAAAGTAACTTCTAGTCGAGTTTTGGCAGGTATAGTTACATTATTATTATTATTATTATTATAAATAGGAGGGTAAAAATAAGTAAGATAATCTCTATGCCATAAAAGGTTACATAAAAACGTTAAATTAAGATGGAGTTAATGAAGCATATAATACCATTTTGGAAATGTTCTTGGAAAGACATTTTTTGTTGAGGACTCAATATATCGTACTGTTTTTTGAGTATTTAACCTTCCACAATCTGAAAAGTAAACAAAACTTAACCAACAGAGAATCTGCTGAAGTGTAATTAAGGACAAATTGAAAAGTACACTCCAAAAAGTTATTGCGTAATATTAACCACTGGAGAGTCCAATTAGTCAGTTACTTGTCGAATTTATAAATTTTGTATTGTATTTGTATTTATTTTGATATACGTCAAAATAATGAAATGTTCAGATGTCACATGCGATAGTCCACATGAATACATGTACAGGCAGTTTTTTACAATTGAGGCGAAAGTTTCCAAGTGACTTTTGGGTTTTGAAAACGGAAAAGGATTGCTTTTCGAACCGTCGACCACTTAAAAATGGTAAGTATAGGAATTTTATTCTTTTCAATTAATTTTTTCAATTTGTAGGCAAAATTCATGAATACGACTGGTAACTGACTAATTGGACTCTTCAATGGCTTATATCACGCAGTAATATAGAGTTGAATTTTGAAATTGATTGCTTCCTTCCTTTCTTTGGAAGATTCCCACATTTTTATATCAAGATGGAGAAGTGGAAGGTCAAAAACTTTTTTCCCAAAAATTAATCTCTCCTAAAAATATACCCTTTCAATTTAAACAAGAATACTGTGGCTGGGATTCAATGAAATAAGCGAATGAACGTTATTTACGTACTGTAATCGATGACGTGGGTGGATTCGACCCATTCCAACCAAGTTCATCCTCAGTTCATTCAGGTTGGAGCCTAGCTTCGACTCATATTGTGACAAAAAGTCGTAATAATGAATGATTTGAGTGTTTTTTCTATAATGTTATCCGTATTTGCTACTAAAGAGCCGTTAAGGCTATTATTGTCTTTCGGCAAAACATCGGATGTCTAGCAGTGAGGATGACAGTGTTCCATGTAAGTGAAATTTTACTTCTTTCATTAAATATATTGTGTAGAAATCCTGTGAATGATATCTGATTCTTTCTCATACGAATGTTTGGAATACAAACTGAATAGAGAAAAGTTTTTTTTTTGTATAATTCAGAGTTCATATAAAAGTATTTGTTTCGGAAGTATTTTTCTTTCGTGTAATTAAATGTTTATATGAAAATAGCTGTTTCGGAAGGGCTTTTTTCAGTTTGTGTCTGAAAGTTACTTCTTTACATGATCTACACATCTTTGTATAGAGTTAAGTTTTGAAATTGAAGTTGAGTTTTCAAATTGATTGTTTCCTTCCTCTCTTTAGAAGATTTTGGAGAATTAGTTTGAACAAGAAAATCTCCAGAAAATCAATGAGTTTGTTCCGAAATACCAATTTTATTTTGATGTTTTGTGATTTGATATTATTGAATATTGAGTTTTTGTTACAATACTGTTTGATATTGAGTAATTTTCGGTGTTGACAAAAAAATAAAAATAGCTTTGCACCAAAAACTTTGCAAATTATTTTACTCTTCAAAAAAATTGACCGTGGTTAACACCAAAGTTGTGTAATTCATACTATTACAGGCTTTTGAAATGAACCGTCTTATACAGAATGCTGTCTATTTATCGTTTTGGCAATTTTTCATAGTCCCCATTTAAAAAAAACTGGGTTAAAAAATAAAACGTATTTTAGATGGCCAAATCTAGATGTATTTTTTAATGCAGAACAACTTTTTTAAATAACATTTCCCGGATTTTTCAAAATGAGAGTACTTTACTCCTGTCTCAAAATCAAATATTTGAAGACTTCTCGTATATTACGTGTTTTACTGTATTTTGTTGATGTATGTTTAGTTTTGAAGGATGCACAAACTTTTATCAGGAATAACATTTTGTCGAGAAATCCCTAATAAATAAGTTTCCCATATGGTGTATATGGTGCATATCTGAAAATTGAAAAAACATTGGGTGAAAACATATATGTATGTATGTATGTACTCACGAACAATCAGAGAGGCAATCGAAATTGAAAAACGACCTAATAATATGAATAAGAGGGATGATGCGTAAAGATTACCATCAACATGGAGATCCGTTTTATCACTTCGCACAAGCAATCAGACTGCTCAACTCCAGAGGCAAAACTCGGTACAGGACAATACAGGTACAATAACTTTTGAATTGTTTCTTTTCTCTTATTCTTTGAAGTGCTATATATACCAGATTTTATAACAAGCTTTGTCAATAAGATTGTATTTTCTTGGACAATAAAGTATATGTCTATTCTATTCTATTCTATATTTGAAACCTTGGACTTTCATTTAATCTTGGACTGAGAAAAACATCATCCTCGTAGAGTAAGATGAAGTTTAGAGAACAAAAACAAATAAGAGACTTTTTGTCAATTTATCTAGAAGAGAATAGAGAATGAGGTTTGGGTGAAGAAAACAACAACAATGTTCTCAACGAAAGAGTGCGTAAACACCTTCTCCGAAAAATTCAAATATGAGCGCCACAGCGGTATAATGATAATATAATTTATTCGGTTTTAGGAGTGGCAAATTTATTTGAATCATATGATTATATCTTTTAAAAACGCACAAGACATCAATGAATGTTTACGGTATCATGACACTGTTTGGCCTATGAATCTCGCGGTTACTTGTAGCACACGGATTTGGAAAACCAAATATATACTTTTTATATAGATAGTTTTGAACATCCGAATAGAGACAAGTTACTTATAAGTTAATTGATTTTACTTACACCAACTTCTGTTACAAGTTTGACCATTATTCACACATCGTTAATGAAAAGATAAATAAAAATGTCTATGTTTTTTACCACTTTTAATTGTAACTAACGTTACTACAGTTTCGTCCTATATGGACATTCTCAAACTAATACAATAAACTCGTTAAAATCGTTAAAATGTTCATTATTAGCTTCCAAATTGCTTCCGCATCCTATTGAATATACTCTCACAAGTGAAATATACTGATGACCTGAAAATGTCTATACTTATGAAAATGTCAATGCCATTCAAGATTTTCATTTTAGAATTGGTTTGGGGATACAGTCTCCAACGATAATGAGGAATTCCGAATATCAAATCCGAACTATAAACTGGAAGCTGGGCCTCCGATCTCCGTTAGATTTTTTGTGAAATATGACAGATTCAATGGCATTCCAAGCGTTCAAGGAATAAGACTGAATGGAAAGGTAATTTGTTCAGCTGAGAGAGATGACAGCGAGTTGAGGCCTACCACTCCTAAGTTGCACATAAGTCGGCCAGGGACTACGAAAAGACCTGTGACTTCGAGTAGTTCAGTTAACAATAGACCAATATATACATCCGGAAGCAAGCCAGGAAGGAGACCTGTGGATAGGTGAATATATTCATTTTTTATTCACCCTCTACATATTAATTTCTGACTCTGTAATTGTTCCTTCTACTCTTCCATATTATAGTTATAATCCTACAAATGTTCATTTGTGCTTCTGGGAAAACAAAATCTGATTGAGGAAAATCTGATCGAAAGATTTTTTATACTTCAACTTCATAGTGGAAATTCTCTTCGGTAAAGAAGTGTTTTTGGACAAATGGCATAGTCAGATTTTTTCCAAGTAGAGCCATTCTATCTATCATACTTATTTGCAGTCAATTCAATGATTTGTAACTTCACGAAGGACTTATTGCAGGAACACCGGAAATAATTCGGGAGTCAGTAACATATTTTTGCGACCAATTTATTCCCAGTTTTCAGGAATGCTACGGATAACGGTGTTATAAAACGCAGAGGTATCAGTTCAACAACAGTTATATTAGATATTCAAGTAATAACTATGGCACCAATAAATGGAAAACACGTTTCCCTCACCAGAACAAATACAGTCTGGGAAGCTATAATTCTTCGCTAACCAAGTTGGCAGAAGATGTAATAATGTCTTTCATTTCAACGAAAATAATTTTTTGTGGGAAAAAATCAGTTTTTTATCGACCTTTTTTGAGTAATTTCACCTTTCACAATCTGAAAATTGTGAAAATTATAATGGAGAACTTTATACAAGTGTAGAAAAGGCAAACTTTTTAGTTTACACCGATAAGTAAAATCAAAGTATTTTTCACAAAGAAAAATGTTCTATTTATCAGTACCTACCTGACTTGTCGTATTTAACAATTTTGCCTATCAAGACAATTGCAAAGAAATAATACAATACTTATCTTAATGTCTTGGAGGCCAAAATCTACCTCCGTCTTCAGAAATGTTCAAAAAATTCAAAGATTTTGCAGTTATTCCTTTGCTGATTATTTATTTCTCAACTTCTTCGACAGATGTCCAAGGAGTCTTACATTTCATAATGATGATGAATTGGTTAGCGACACTCGCGTTTCAAGAGACACTATTCATGTTCTGATGATGGAGAAGCATTTTTAATAGATTCATTTTACGTAGATATATAAATTATTGAACGAAAGTAATTTGTGGAGGAAATTGGAGTTTTCTATCGATCTTCTATTGGGTTTTTCACTTTCTACCTATCGGGGTGAACAAAAAATTTGCTCTTTCAATTGTATAAAGGTCATCCCAGATTTGGTTCAAAAGGCCATAACTGGTGACCAATCATGGTTATATGGTTATGAAATCGAATCCAAAGTACAATCGTTCCAATGAAGCCCAGAAGAGCCAACCAAAAAAGCAGCGCGAAGTTCGATCAAATGTCAAGGTTTTTCTCACTGATTTCTTCGATTACCGTGGCGTAGTGCATCAAGAGTTTTTGCCACATAGTTGTACGGTCAACAATGGGTATTGTCTTGAAGAAATGCGCCGCTTCCGAGAAGCGATACGAAGAAAACGTTCGGTATGCATAGCCTTTGCATCGCAATAATGCTTGTTCGTGATTTTTTGGCCGAAAACAACAATGTAGTCATGCCTCAGCTACCGTTTTCGCCAGATTTGGGCCCCTGCGACTTTTTCCTGTTCCCAAGATTAAAGAGACCCATGGAAGGACGGCGTTTTACGACGATTGAAGAGATAAAAACCGAATCGCTGAGATAGCTCAAGGACATACCAAAACGTGCATGTCAGAATTACTTCGAGGTTGGGAAAAAACGACTACCCAAGTGTATTATATCTGAGGGGGACTACTTTGAAGAGGACAAAATAGAAATTGGTGAATATATAAATATTTTTTGAGAAAAATGAAACTTCACTTTATTTTTTGAACATACCTCGTATAACTTGTATATCTACGATGTCTCTCGGGCGCTTTGGTCATCATTATTATAGCTATTAAAACAATTTTAACGTTAGTGTCATAATTATTACGTGAATATCTACTGGTTGATTGAAGGATGATTAAAAAAAACACGCAAATCTGAACTTTTCCTATGAATATCTTACATATTATATCTTACATAAATAATTCTGCCTCCGTTTCAAAAGGTTTCTGATTTCAAATAATATAAAATATCGAAAAAATCGGAACCATTTCTGAGGACTTGAGAGGAGAAGACTGTTGATTTAACTAGTAAGTACGAAGTGGAACATCGGCGGTGGTTATCAGTACCATGAAAATATTAATTGAATTTGTAAAGTAGCCCAATGCAGTAGTTCCCATCTTCGTGAGTTAGATTAGATCATTTTTGATAAAAAATAAGTTAGTTTAGCTCTTGATGAAAAAACAAAAATTGATGGTCTCAAATATTTTTTTAACACAAGCACTACAGGAAAATCGTTAAGGCGCTCTGAGAGTGGCGATTCACATTAGATTTGAACCGCTGGAGATTAAATTCATTTGGAAAAACGTTTTCAGGAAGTTTATTCCACATAAATGCAGTTCTCCTCAAAACGTTGAACAGCCAAGTCACTTGAACACCTCTCGCGAAAGTATTCATGAAACAGAGACAAATCTTCAACCTTTCTTCGATGTTCCAGAGTATTGAGTTTGCAAGTGATGTTCGTGTCTCTAATCAAGCGGGTGGCGTTTTTCTGGATGGAATCCAGCAGCTTCTGGGTATGCTCAGGGGCGGAGCTCCATACATGAGAACAATTCTCCAAGGCAGGTCTGATCTGAGCTTTATAAAGTATCAAAAGTTGCTGAGGTGTGTACAGTTTTCTGGTTCGGAACAGTGTTTCAAGTTTTTGAGAAGAAGCCTTTGCAGTTCCATTGTGGTGCTAAGATATATTGGTGTCCATTTTAACCCCCAACAAACTTATCGAAGCAGAAAGCAAACTCGTTTTTCCTGACATTATTATACCCGGTTTGGGGACATTTATCTTTTTGGTGAAAACCGATGCCTCGGTTTTTGTGGCATTGATTTAAACCTGGTTACTTTAATTCAAATTCTAAATCACTTCTTGATCCTCATTAAGATAAGCAACCTCCTGCTGTTGATGAAGATTTGCATCCGCAGCCGAAGTTATGGAATCCAAATGGAATGACAAGTGTTCTGTCGTCAGCAATGCAATATATTAGATTCTTGATTTTTTCCTATAAGTCGTTGATATACAATAAAAAGATGGTTGGAGACAATATGGATCCCTGGGGAACACCAGCGTTGATGGTAAAAGTATTCGAGAGATATCCATCGACGGCCACTTGCAGGGGATGTTCTTTCAGCTAAAGAGCCAAACACAGAAATGATCCGACAAGCCAATTCATCAAGCCACACACGGTCAAAGGCTTTAAAAATATCAAGCGCAACAGTTCTTGATTGCGTTATTCCAAATATGGGTGACATACGATAAAAGGTCGCCTGTTGATCTTTGTTTCAGAAAATGTCAGAGAAAATAGTGTACGTCATCGAGATTCTTTGGATTTGTGCCGCAATTTTTTGAATTCACATGCATAAAGTGACCAAATGAATTTTTTTTATTGAAACATTGAAATATCTTGGAATATAATGGCTCACTAGAATAAGCTTTAATTTAAGTATTGGATAGATCTCACATAGGAACCTTGAAGATAAACGCTTTTTTGGTTCCTAAGCTTTCTCTGAACTGACTATAATCAATTGAACCTGAATCCTCTTGAAATGGTTCTGCTGCTATTGAATAATCCACTGTATTATCGGCCGTATAATACAGCTGCTGAAAATAATGTTGAAACTCTTAAATCGTATTCATTACTGATGACGTACTTGTGAATCTAACTTTCTGAGAGTTTATGTGCATCTTCAGTGAATAAACTGATATCGCTTCTACCATACTGCGAAGTGTTGCTGTTTGGATCGTAGTGGAGTTTCGTTATGTCATTGCCCAGAGTTTCCATTAAAAATTTTTCATCAAAGGATAAACATTTAATGTAAAATAAATTCTTGCTCTTACTTGCTTAGCTACTGTGCATGGAGTTGAGCTCCAGATTATTGGATGTTTATAAATTTAAGAATAATCTACTTGAAATGATCAGTCATAATAGTTTTCACTATTTCCCTGTACGTAAGTATGGACATATTTCTCTCTTCGTAGGGAAATATGTCCATACTTACTCATACTCTAGCTTTTTCTTCGAGGACTGTTGATACTGCGTGGTTCAGCCTAGCACCACTGATGAGACCAATGGCGGATCGAAACAGAGTTGTCTATATAATAACTGACTGATCGTTTTGTTATGGGATGTTACCATTCTGATTAAGTGTGGGATGTTACCATTCTGATTAAGTGTGGCTATGGGTGGAGTGGTGTCATGAGTGTCTTCTTGGCTCATGAAATTTTTTTAATACATTCCATATCTCTGACTCGGAATTGTGTCCACAATCACTATTTAATTTTAATTCCATGCCTGGCATTCACACCATTGAGAAAGGTATCTGCTGCTTTATCAACCACTTTTATTTTAAAATAGTTGAATTATCAGGATATTTAGAAGAGTCGTCTATTAGTAGCACGAATAATTTGTTTCCATTGTCAATTTTGGATAAGTCATTTCATATCCATGATAGTGTAAGATTTTTTCTGGATAGTACATTTATTATTATTTTGTTTTCGAGATCAACATTATTGACATCGAAAAGTTTGTTAATGCTTGAACGTTATTTATTATATTGATTCAAGGGAAACTGGAGATATACCATCAAATGTCAAAGTCAGTAACAAGCCAAATACCAGCAATTTAATTACAGGGTAAATATTTTCTTTTTATGATTGAACCTAAAATGTCATTAAATATATCTCCATTTATAGAGACGTTTACGATCCACCATCATACAGACAACCCGATGAAAATAGTCAAGGATTAGCTTCGAATAGAGATAACAGGCTTGATACAAGACCTAGCACTTCCAATTATAATACAGGGTATGAAATGTTGTCTCACTCAATACTCTTTGAAAATTTTTTTCTTTGAAATCAACTAATAACGGATAAACTTCTTATGAGGAATAATCGTACAGTTTATACCCTATCCAAACGAGTTCCAAGTAAGCCTTTATTAAATTAATTTCTTCAGACATTTATTGTATGTATGTCACTTTGGCTGTACGAATATACAGAACGAATTTAAAACTTACCATTTCTTCCTTTGAAATGATGTTACTCTGGATGGCTGCATGCAGTTGAGTACGTTGAACACTACCAAAAGGTTTGTTGTTGAATTAGTGAGTAAAAGTAGAATTGAAAAATGAAAGTGAAAAATAAACTTGAAAACTTGTATCATGAATGTTGCTCTCAGTGCTCACTGCGTATCGTCAGATCCTTGCTAGGAATTATTGTCAACAGGTAAGATCTTGTTTTTCCTTTGCTCGTACAAGTCTCTTAAATACTTCGGTTGGTTGCCGTTTTTGGGTAGATGGCAGCTGATTTGAAAAGAAAAATCTATGTTAACATACTTCAACTCGTAAATACCTTTTATGAAATCTTCTAGTAATAGTGGTGAATTTTCAGTACAATATACTAGTCAATTACAATTTTTATCTTACTATCTGAAAGAAAAATTCGTTCAGGCCAGTCTCAACTCACCTACACTGTAGGTTAATGGGCTGACACCTATCATCTACTTCCGCGTCTAATACCACGATGGGCGTTAGATTATAAGCGATAGGTGTCAGTGCAGGATTCTTTACTGAAGTTATTCCTGCATGAACTTCCTGGAATGCACTTGCTATTTGGCCGCTCATCAGTGCGCAATGTAGTGTCCATCATCAACATGAAGTCGATGATTTCCCATATTTAAAAATAGAATTCCTTTCAGAGTATCATTCTCCGAACTAGGCTGAAGCGAACGACAAACAACATATTTATCATCGACTCGCTCACCTGTGAACGAGGTAACCAACCACATATTCAAATCGCCCAATTCCTCGTATAAAGAAAAAAATCACATATAGTAATGGGGCATATTTGAAGACTGGCTGTAAATCTAATTATTTGTAAGAAAAATTAATTCAGGTCAGTCTCAACTCACCTACACTGTAGGGTTATGGAGTCCTATCATAAAACAACTACTACCCTGGCTAAAACCAAGAAGGGCGTTGGATTATATTCGACAGGTGTTAGTGCAGGATTCTTCGCAGAAGTAACTCCTGCATATGCGATACAACTGTCGGAATCGATTTTCAATTATTGGAGTACACTTGCAGGCCGGTTTTGGACTCTTTGGCCACTCGTCAGTGCAAGGTAGTGTCCTCATCAACAGCTAGTCTTCAAGTATGCCCCCTTACTATATGTGAAATTTTTATCTCATTATTCGTTATTTCTTCATTTATGACATTCGTGTTCTATGAGAACAGACATTTTTTTCAATCCAAAAGCTGTGAAATTAAAAAGTCAGAGTGATTCAGCCTACACAAAAGCCGCAGATATCACTTCACTGCTGCGGCAACACAAAGAAAGGTCGATGCATGAGGTCTCTTCAGCCTCGGCTTTGCAAAGCACCTGATCTTTGCTTTTCTTAGTTCGAGTGGGCTAAAGTCGGAAACTGAGAGGTTCATCAGGGCCTGCCAGGATTGTGTTTTCAACATCTTAGTCTATGGGTAATCGCGTCATGGATATAGAGGTTCCTGCCAGCAGGTACAGGGCCTGCCGTGAGGCGAGGGGGTTGTATCGACGAGACACCGGTGTTACCCTACGATCCGGAAGATATTCAATACGTTGTACGAAATAAGAAATATTAAGTTTATTCACTACTAGGCTCATACAAGCTATTAAGTCCGATGTTGATACTTCTCGTCCATTAGAGACAATATTCAGAGACCATCAGGGAAAAATAAGAGGAAGAACGGATGAAATATCGAGATGTTCTTTTGACCACTCTGTTAAGATGATTGGTTTTGATTATTGAAATCCTGGAATGATGCCATTTCTTCTATCGAATTTCAAGGTAATGCCAGCTAGCCGGTTAAGGCAGAAATTTTGACCAGACAAATGTAGAAGACTCATTCTTGGTTCATGCATGCATGATTTTCGAACCCAATTAACAATTACCTACCTCAAGGTATACAAGATATTGATGAAGTGTGGATATTAAAAATTGTATTTTTTTGAAAATATTTCTCCTACAAATTGAGTTATAATTTTTAGATTGTTTGACTCCTTTCCTTAAGGCAATATTTCGAATCGAATAACAAAAGGATGTGTATCATTATAGATTTTATAGACATTGTGAGTAAGCCTCTTTGAAATAGGGATGTTCTGTAAGACGGAAGAGAAATATGACCTCTATGACGCATATTTAGGCTATGAACGTTGGTTCTATATTTAATTTCATGACACAAATAAATTGCAGACTATTCAGATAAAACCAAGTGTGTTGATACTAGAACGTGGAGTTTTCTACAATTTTGAATTTTCAGCTATTTTATATGTTTCAATATGTTGTTTAAATATGTTGTTTCCATTAACCAGCTATCGCACCCCTACGAACGACAACCCCCAGAAGTCGAAACTTGTGCGAGCTAGATCATATTTCCTAATTCCGGATTTCGAAGATCTATATCCAGATACAAGCCCAAGTTTTTTATCTTTTTAAAAACATAACTGCTGAATCGAATAACAAAGCTCCAATTTTCGATCCCTGCAGAACACCACTTGATACGTTTTCTTTTACAGACTGCCCTACTCCATATACTGACACTTATTCTCCAAATACTTACTTGAAAGTACTGATCCAAAGAAGTGCAAAATAGAAGGCATTAACTCATTCTGTGGTATCAACTGCTTTGATATAGTCTGGTGATATAAAAATTGTAGTCTCAACTACATTGGTAGCGCTTATAATATCATACATTATATGCAGTAAAGCTGTAGTAAAGCTACACCCTTACCTGACTAATTATAGTGATTGTTTGCGATACGCCTATAATGCTTACACGGAAAAATTCTTCATTATTTTCAGTACTTACTCCGACAAAGGATCTACAAGTTATGACGAGCTGTATGAAAATAACCAAGGGCACTTCTCTGGATCGTTGTCAAGACCTAGTACTTCGAATGCGAATAACAGGTTTGTAAATAACCAGTACTTTTGAAGTTTAAGGATTTATTTCCTATAGTATTTAAAATATTTCAGAATGATATATTATCCATGAGCAAAACTATTGACTATAATATTCCATTCCAGTTATCAAAGGATAGGCAACATCAATGAATATTGAAATAATACAAGATACATTCTTCAACACGAAGATTGTGTTGAAATATGGATTCAACATCCTCAAAAACAATCATGGTGTTTCCTAAATACGGTACTTAACTTCAGAGAATGATTCGTTAGGTAGTTTTAAGAAAATTAGTTTCTATAAACATATGTTTTGAGTTTATTTCTGAGGTACAGGGCGTTCAAATTTAACAAAAAACTGTATCCATAAAATATCATGAATATCCTTGAACCTATTTGGTTAAAATTTGGTACAGTTTTTCAAAGTGGTGTTTCAGTGGAAACCACAGGCAATAATTTTGGAAAAAGAAAGTTTCACACTGCCTTGTTTTGTAGTTTTTTCAGTTTATACAGAATTCACCTGTTGATCTTGCTGACAAAAATGGACCCACTCGGTAGTCACCAATAACTCCTAGCCAAAAGGTCAGCGAAAATTGTAACTGAAAATGACTTTTTTTTAATAACGTGAGGATTTTCGTTGGCCGAAAAATGGTCATAGTGGAAGTTCACAATACCATCTCGTGAAAAATTTGCCTTGTCCATGAATAGATTATTATTTGCTATCGTTTGAATCAACCAACGCAAAACATTGATCTTGAGAGAAAATTCCGATTCAGTAGAGTTTCTTTCCTCAAGTGTGTTATATGGGTACATATATGAACTTTTCAAATGATTTTTGAGGTAACTTCAAGTTGTAGTGCAATCTTTCTGGTACCATAGTATGGCTTCTTATAGTTCAGGCGTTTTTTAGTTTCTGGTTTTCCACTACCAGCATTTTCATTAGAACTCTTAGTTTCATATAATCTTGCATGTGGCACATGGATGTCTGTTCTGGTGCTTCTTCTGCATTTCCAGTTGCTAATCTATGAATGAAGTGCATGTCAGCCATTTTTCAGTGTTAATAAAATTATTCATGATTGAATCACTGCCAATTGATATCTCTGAATTTCAGTGATATGTGAATTCCACATTCCACTATTACTGACATCTGATCACCAAAACAGGTTAGTGGTTACTAGATTGGACTTGGCAGTAGTTTGTTTTGAAAAGTAAATGATTGATTTTGCTATATATACAGCTATAACAGTTAAACATATATTGTAAAATAATAGATAAGGCAAAATTGTAAAATTAATTTAGGTTTACATAGTGAAACTAGTGGCGTAACATATTTCAACTTAGTTGGTTTCCAAAACGCCTCCGAACTGATCAAGTCAAATTTAATTACTAGTTCAAAATGAAAGGAGTAGAAAATATAGAAACTAAGTTTGAGACAAGTGGGCGACATGTTATTTTGATAATAATAACAAATCAATTTTCCTCCATGTTACTGAGATATGCAATAGAGTGGCTTCAATTTTTCTTTCTGGAAAACGAAGCTAGATATGCACTAAATACAAGATACCAAAAAGTTGTATTTCAATTGCTTCATTCGAAAACACAAAAACTAAAAAACAATGCAGAGGCGTATTTTCTCTCAATATTAATGGCTTCGGTCCCCACTGAGACGCCACTGGACCTAATAATTCAAATTTAGTTTTTGTTAAATAAGCACCTTTCGGCTTCAAATAACTGTAGCAAATTTCAACTAAATCGGTTTAGAGATATTCATGATATTTCAATTTTCAATGCCTTCTATCTCAGAAATGAAGCAACTGCGGACATATGTTCGTAGGAAGTTTTTTTTTCAAAAGACCTAACGAATTATCCTACGAAATTTCATACTGCAGTTAGTGAAAACCCTACTTCTGAAATGTTTGCTTCGCCAAACCTTTGAATGATTGAACTATTGAAAATTCAAATATGTTTTCTTTTATATTGAATGAAGCACTTTTCAGAATTACTTCTGGTGGAAATAGTAACGGTAACACTCTATCTGTGTCCGATAACGAAGATGATGACTTTTTCCCTGGAGACTTCGCCAATATCAAAAGACCAGCCCAAAATAAGCCAGCTTCCAGACCGCTATATTTAATTTCATGACACAAATAAATTGCAGNTCCAGACCGCATACATTATCTGTTACCACAGAAAGTGGTTGTGGTATCGTTGCAGCTAGGCCTAGTCCACTGATTACCAATGGACATGATACAACCCCAGGTGAGAATGTCCTGTACACAGATATGAACTATACGAGTACAGATGAACTATACAAATTCGTAATTCTGAATTTGCTTATTTATATCTAACAGGGCGAACTTACATTTTTAATCGTCAGTGATTTTTTAACTACAAATCAGGCAAAAATGAAAGAGTAGCTACTGGGGTGTTTACTGTTGATTGGTCATTTTGCAATCTCCAAACTTTCGAAAGTTTTCAAAGTCTAGTTCTTGGGTCAACGAGCCACAGAATGAACACCACCCAATAAATGAACAATTCAACTGATTTCATCTATATTAAGGTTTTTTCAATTATTAGAATCCCAAGAAAAAGTTTGTAAATATGGCAATGGTCTGGGCAATTCCGTTCATGCACTGGAAAAATCATAATCTCAAACAGTGAATTCTTATAACATAGACAGATGGGTACCAGTCAGATCGGACCAAGTGTGCGCCATTTTTGTTAAGGTAAGTACAAAACATAGCATTAAAAAGTTGTATTTAATGACCACAACCATTACATCTGTAGAGTAGGGAGGGTGAGTGTAAGCCCACGCGCTTGGCCACATGTGACCCATTGTACATCCTCCTGAGGAGTTGTCCTCCTAGATCATCGTCCATCCTGTCCTTTCCAGGAAGGTGGACAGGTCGCTGGGAGACATCCCCTTTTTATCGGCAGGTGTAGGCCAAGATTCGCCGAACACACACTCTCTTACTGACGATAACTCCGGGCACTCGCACAGGACATGCCTGACATTCTCATCTTCCTGTTCACACATCCTGCATAGAGGTGTGTCCACTAGCCCCATATTATGTAGGTGTTTCCTTAGCTGACAGTGGCCAGTCAGAAATCCTACTGTAAGACGTAGATTTTTCCTGGTCATCGCCAGATATTTCTTCGGCGCCAGCTTCCCAGGGTCGCCCAAGGTGATCCTGGCAAGATTA